AAAACTCTAAAAAATTAATATTTTATAAATATGATTTATTTAGTAAAATAAGTTAAGATTTAAATATTAATTCAAAAAGAATTTTTTTAGAGTTTTATATCTTTTTACTGCAAAGCTCTCATATAGTCTAAATTTTATAAAGTAAAGGATTATTATATAAAAATTTAAACTATATGAGAATAAATAAATATATATATAAAGTAGACATTATAAAAAAATAAAAATATACAATAAATTAAAAAGTTTTGTATATATTAGTATAAAATATATTAAAATTTGAAAGCATATGTATTTACTAATTTGTATTATTATAATATACAAATTTACTCAATATCTTATTAAATATTAGCATAATTTATAGATTTATTAATTTGTATATTAAATATTTTATAATTAAAAAAAAATAATAAAATTTACTTTATATATTAAATATAAAATATAAAATAAATATATTTAGATTTATGCAATATTAATTTTTAAATAAGTTTTATTTTATATAATCTATATAATATAAATATATATTTATTTTATTTATTTATAATGATTATATTTTATAATTTAATAATAATAAAATAATATTATAAATTATTTAATTTTATAATATTTTTTTAAAAATAATAATTTTATTAATAATTTAAAGTTTTAAATAAATAAATTAATAAGTTAATTTATTTAAATTGTTTAAATATTAAAATTATATAATTAATTTTAGTTTTAAATTTTAAATTAATTAAAAATATTAGATAAATAATTTATTTTGTTTAAATATTTTTAATAAATATTATTTAGTAATTAAAAAGAATTACTTTAAATTACAATAATAATTTTTCAGTCATATTCAATCGCAATATTTTATAGTAATTTTATTATAAAATATTTTCAGTTACATTTAGCCGTAATTTATTAGTAATCCACAAATTATGAAATTAGCTATAACTAAAAAAAAATATAGCTAAATATAATTAAAACTTATTATTATTATTTAATTATTCTAATCAAATATTAATAAATTTTAATTTATAAAATTTATATTTAGCTAAACCTTATTGTAAATTTATATAAAATTATTTAGCCAACCCAGTTATTTTTATTTCTTATATAGTTATTTTCTTTTAAAAAAATACATTTTTGTTAGATTAAAATTATTAATAACTTATTAAAAAATTATTAATCATTTTCTATAGTCATTTATATAGTTTATATAATTACAACAATTTTTTTTAATTTTGAAAAAGTAATTAATTATATAGAAGGTCAACTGTTTATTTATAAAAACTTATGCAAATTTGTTTTATTGAATGATTGTTTAAAAATATAATAAAAATAATAAAATAATATTACCTTAAATTGATATAAGAATAGTTTATTTTAAATGGTAAAAAAAATATTCTAAAAAAAAACAATATTTGATTTACAATTAATTCAAATTGGAATTAGAATTAGTAGAGTTGATCTTTTACTTGAATAATTCAAATCAAGATGTCAAAAGGATTAACTTGACTTGATTTGACAAGACTTGCCTAACTTATGAGATTATTAACTTATTTAAAGCTCTATTATACTTTACATATTAACGTTAATAATTAATTAAAATAAAGTCATTTATTGTAATAACATTTAGATATTGATTTTATTGGATCATTTTAAATATTTGCATAAAATTTTTACACTTTTGTAATTGTAATTGTGATTTATAGCATATAAATATTAATTTCATTATCTAGATTGAATATTTGTAATGATACAATTTTACATTATTATTAATATTAACATTATTTCTCTGGCGGATACTTTAAAATATATATATAAATTCATTTGATATTATAGCAAAATATCAAATGTCAAAACTATATTCTTAACATTCGTCTTACTTCATAATTTTTCGATTTAAAAATTTCTAATGAGCTACTTCCCATTTTAAAAGCATATATTAAATTAATAATAAAGTTGATAAAATCAAAAAAAAATCTTTTTTACGCGTCGATTTTAACGACAAAAGTGGCATTTCTCCGAACTGGTGCACGATAATCAAAAATTCACCTTCCTATTGAATCGAAATATTTCCATAACTTGCTTCATATTGAATAAGAATTGGCTAGTTCCAATGATTAGAATCTAAAATATAGAGTTTCATAGTTAGCATACGAACGGATGTTCAGTTAAATGGAAAATATTTGTATCAGGGTTTGTGATCATGAATTATATTTCAACGGTCAATTTCTGAGGTATTAACAGATGCTCATTAGATATTTATCGGTATCTCTTAATTAATCTCATTAAATGTTTTTACATCTGGAATGAGCTAAGGGTTGCCAAATATGATGTACATTCATTTAACATGTATGATTGAAGTATGGGATGGAGATGAACAAATTCACGGACCATCACCATGAAACAAGAACATCCGGGAATTGCATACCATTTTGAATTGTTGATGATCATCTTCGAACATTCATTAGGAGAAGATTTTATTAAGATTAGTATCAATTCAAAAGAACGAGATTATAAATTTCTTATATGGTACCAGCAAAGGGCTACTCGAATATGTTTAGTCAGATTTTTAATCAACAATTCTTGAATGCTCATCTTACAAAAAAAACTGGTATCAAGTATTAATTCAAGTCCTTTTTCATAACTATGAAAACGTATATGACGTAGGTAGTCATGTGAACTTCATATGAGAAAGTAAGGGATAGGCACAAACCTCGATTCATACTTTCCGAGCAGATATTGAAATTTTTTTATTGTGAATATTTAAAGATTCCACCCCTTTTTTGAATTTGGAGAAGTTTTATAGTTTTATTGAGAATTTTGTCAAGATAATCTTGATTCTGAATCCTTTTTTTTCCACATTTCACATTTCTTGCATTTCTTGCTTTCCTTTAAGTGGATTATCAATATCACTTTTGGCGTAGAATGGAACCTGGTAGAAAATTACGGAATCCTTTCCAAATAATATAATAATAATTAAATACAAAATCGAGAAGATATAATTCGTCGTTATTTAAGTAAGATTATTATTATTTTTTTATTTTGTCGGCAAATGTTTCACATTGTGCCAAAATCGTCGATCGTTTAATTTGTTTAACAAAAAAAATATTTCATTAACCAATAAATTTACGCCATAAACAAATAAAGTTTTGCCATTACGTTATTTGGGTTTTTTAAAATATAAACCTCCGAGCCACAATTGGCTAAATTTTTTGCAAAAAGAAATTTCCTTATAAAAAATTCCCTTTTTAAACTAGTTTATGTCTTTCATTGGTAATAAGACGAATTAGTATAAAATTAAAAATCCGATGCAATTGAAAAATTAAACTTTTTTATAAAGGCGGAACACAAAATAAAAAAAAACCAGCTTAAAAATAATATTTGATTAAGGAGCTTATACTTTAAGGGATTTTTTTTTTTTTAATAAAATAAAAATATTGTTTACAATTTGGGAATGTATTATTTGATGAAAGTAAAAGGGGAAAAATTCTCAGAGAAAAAAAAAAAAAAACTAGTTTATTTTCTTGCCGAATAATAATAGTAAGTATTTTCTAAAAAAAGAGGGATTTTTTCAACTTTCAATAATAACAAATATAGGTTGTTGGGGTTATTAATAATTAATAATACCCATACGACTGTCTTCAAAAAAAAAAAACGAATTTTTTTTTATACATACATACAATTTTAAAGAATTTACACATATGTTGATTGTTCAATAATCAGGAATTTCGATTCAATTCAACACCCATAAATTGTCAATAGTGTAATTATTTATATTGATAAAGTGAGCTATCTGTATTTTCGGGGAAAATTTTAAATAATATATTAAATAAATCATTACTAGTTCCAGTATTTAAATGTTCACATAATTGAAAACAAATGTTATTGGTCTTTCCTTGCTTCCCTCATTTCCTCATCGTCGTTCAAAAATTCAAAGATTTACCAGATGCAATGTTAACAAAAAATTTTGACATTTAACACAAAAATTAATTGGTGTTTATTCTTTACCATATGGGTTTCATAACATAAAAAAAGACCTAACGCTATGGTCCGATTCTTATCTAATTAAACCCAAATTGGAATAACAGAATAGGAATGTACATGTACATGATCATGGGAAATTTGTTTCCTTCCAACTCTTTCATTATATTTTTTTTCTTTGATTAGAACGAAAAACAAAAGGAACTTTTTTTATCTACGTAATGTACTTTCATATATCGTATGATCAACCATACCATATGCATGTGCCAATAACGAATGGTGCTGATCATCATGTTGGAAAGAACAAATTTTTTTATTTTATTTTAAAAAAGGTGAAAATGAAATAGAAAAGTGATGATTACACCATTGTACCCAATTATTATCATTATATAGTTTATTCTAAAAATATCATTTTTATACATATTTAGTTTCATAGCCGAGCGTCCTAAAAATCAGAGTGAAAAGTCGATTTTTTTCACTTGATGTCGTGAAAATTAATCTGCCGCCAATCGTTTTGTTTGATTAAAAGGTGTTAATCTTTATAAAGTTTTGTGAACTGCGGAAAGGAGTCCAATTAAATTTCCATGAAATTATTTTATAATATTTTATTAAACTAGATTAACAGGTATATTATAAATTAAATTGTATCACTGCATGAATATATTTGAATGATATATTCCTTTACAGTTACTCAGTATTGAAGATCAACACTCGGTGTTAGAATTCTGTGATGTTGCTTATTTATTATAAGATTGTATTATATATAATATATATCCTCATTGTAAACAAAAAATAAGAATAATATAAACTCATTATGATATGCAATCACTACTTCAAAAAATTATTATAAATACACACTATTCCCCTACAACTTATTCTTTACAAAATTTCGATATTTATAAAAAAAAAAAATTTCGAAGTTTTGGTTATTTATTACGAGATAAATTTTAACGTTTCTTTTCGAAGAAGAAAAAAAAAAAACAAAAAAAAATAATTCCCCAAAACTTACTCGTTTCTTAATATATAAAATGGATACTGATTGGTGCATCATGTGCGATTCTCACTGCAATATTCCCGTAAGTATTAAAAAAATGAAAAAGGGCATCTTTTTAATTTCATAGCGTTCGGTTTACTAATTTTTTTATTTTATTTTTTTTTTTTGTTCTCTAGGGTGCGATTTACTGTTCAGAAGAATGCAAGCTTCAAGATCGTTTAAGTGCTTGTCCATCATTGGCCTCGACTACAAATTCATCGATTTCATCTGTTTCAACATCTCTTCAATATCCAACGGGCGGAAATACGAAGTTTGAAAAGTCTCCAACCGTTAAATTTGTTACACCAAAGACGCCTTCAATTCAATTTGCTAAAGTTCAACCACCACAACAACCACCAACGTTGTTTTATCATCGCGGCCCAATGCCTCGTTACAAGCACACCTCTTCAAAAGCATGCGCCAGTGCGAGTAACGTAAGAGATAGAAAGATTACAAAAGCCGTATACGTTCAATAATTAATACTTAATTCATGATCTTTTTTTCTTTACAACATATATTATTCTACATTTGAACAAAAAATCAAAAAATCTTTCATCCATCCATCATCTTTTTTTAATATATCATAACCATCCATAAAAAAATTACTTACAAAAAATAATAACAACGCATGCTTATTAATTTTTTTCTTTGCATTTTTCTTTTTCTGCTCTTTCTTTAGTGTTGGGGAATATATTTTTTTTTGACCATTATTTTTTGATTATCTTGGCGAAGTTGTGGGGTTTTTTCTCAAAAGAAAAAAAAAAAATTTGTATATATAAATTCAACTTGGCTTTTTATTTTATAAACAAAAAAAAAAAAAATAGAACAATTTATTTTTACTTGCGATTTTGGCTACCAAAAGCAAAGAAAAATACAAAAAATGACATTTTTTGATTTATTTAAAAAATTCTCTTAATTATAGAATAAGAATATTCATTGTACATAGAATAGCTTTTTTTTTTTTATCTTTTTTTATATTTGCTTTCCTTCGCCTTATATTTAAACGGAAATAAAAGCTTTAATAATAAAAAAAATAAATAATTTTTTTTTAATGAATTCGATACCTTCTTTGCGGTTGTCAAATCATTTCCCAATAAAACTGAAACAAGAAAATGTTTTATTAATCATTTTGGGATCATGTGTTCACAAGATCTAACTCTAAGGGAGTCATAAAAAAGATTGAATAATCAAAAATCAAGATCAAAAACTTGTTTGCGGATGAATCACGCGTCTCGAACCTTCCTCAATTTCGAAATTTTTTTTTAGCATTTTTCCCTTGCACAAATTTAAAACGAAAATAAATTTGGAAATTCCTCAACAAAAACTAATATTACAAACTAATTATTGTCCCATTACAAACATAAATATAAATAAATTAAAATCAAACAGGTTTTTTCATCTTTTTGGTTAGAAATTATATCATTGGTATCAAAGAATTCCTTTGTGTCGTGATTTCATTATTGAAATGTTTTGGATGGTCAAAGCGAGGGAGGACACCAAAAGATTTAAAACCGATAGACTTATCCATGTACGGCTAATATCATTCATCATCCAATGTTCATATGTCTCACGATAAGATTTCGTGATTATTTCCTTGTATAGTATATCATTATCAAACAAACCTCTAACACTTTTATAATCAATCAAAAAAAAATTTTTTTTTTCTTAATTTTACACCATCAATCATTTTTATTACGAATCTTAACGAAATTGGGATGTGTGTGAAACTTCTTCACATTCGCTCTTATTTGGTTTGGATGATCGACCAACTACTTACTACATTGATCGAATTTAAATTTAGAAATAGGTGCCACGTTTTATCGTATGACAATGTCGTAAGATATCTAATTCCAGATACCCTTATGTGGCGAATATCTATTTGAGACCAACACGGTAAACCATGAAAGAAGTTGTAGCCCCGAAGTCGGGTTTTGTAGTGAGAAGATAATGGGAGTAATTCCGGTCAAATTCGGTCTTATTCAAAGAGATTCTAAGCCACATGCAATGAGCTTGACTTGGTCAAGATCCGAGTTGATCATCACAGAACCCATGAGTCATGAAATATCAATATGATGTCTTAAGGAAAGATCAACGGGAGGGAATCGATGACACAATAAATCCAAAGTAATGAATGAAAAAAGTTGTCAATTTTTCAGAAATGTAAAATTACTTCTAAATAAATATAAATGATCTACCTTATTTCATGCAGGTATTGGAAAAGTGACTTAATACAAATTTTTTTGATCAAGAAATCGGATGGTTAATTGACCTTTTACCTAATCTTAGAGAACAAACATGACACGAATAAGGGGTGCTTTTACCGCTTTCATCAAAAAAAAACCTGTTTGGCGTTTGAATTTACTCGTTTATATAAAAAATTTATTTTCTTATTATGGTGTTTTTTTTTTGTATAAAAAAATTATTTCTGATTCTCATTTTAGGGTTTTTTTGTTTGTTTGGGGACATTGCATTACAGTGGACGGATGTGATTCTACGAGGAGAACGGTTTCTGAAAAAGTAAGATATAATGTTTAACATTTGATAATTTAAAATTGAAGTTGTAAATGATGAGTGGGAAGCATTATCGTTTGCATGAATCTGCCATAACCGTTGTTCAATCAACAATTCTTATTATTATTATTATTATTCCTTTAGCGAAGGGGCCACAATTGGCGGGATTTAATAGAAAATAAAATTATTTTCTTGAATAATCGTAATGATAACGATAACAATAATAATGTTGATACAGTTTCACTCATACTGTATAAAAAAATCATTGTACAGTATATCTCGATAAAGTTTGGATCATCCGTACTGCGCAGCTTACAAAGGAGCATTGTTTGAGCCTGTACAATGAAATTGGGAAAGAAATCATTGTTAAATGATCTTGTTTTTCTCGTTTGGACTAAACAGATTAAAAAATATCAACTTCCCCTTTGAAAAAAATTATTTTTGTTATTAGTTTTTGTGGTAGATTGGAACAATATCTTATATAATCATTTTCACATTATGTGAAAGTCATTGTTTGGGCACTTTGTACCTTTTCGAGAATTTTTTTATTATTATTACCATACAAGGTGCAATCATAATCATTCACGTTTTTTCTTTTTTTCTTTTAAAATATAATTCTTTCTTTCGAGCTAACCTTTATAAAGGAAATTAATTAAACATGATTCTTGATTTGATTGGATGGTTTTTTTTAATTAAAAATTTGTTTTGTGGTAAAACAAATTATTCTATTGTTATTTTAGAGTAGATTTTTTATTTTTTTTGAATTTTCTTTGTATGGAGAAAGAAATAATTTTTTTAATACAATTTTATTATGACATTGTTTTTAAAAATATATTAAGCCAATTTTTTTTTAAAAAAAGGAAAAAGGAGAACTATTCTATTATTATGCTCAATATTTTTTTTTTTTTATACAGTATATCGATCAATATATCAATCAATATATATAAATGTCAATTCGTTTGAATCAATCACCAAAAAAAATTTTTTTTATTTTTATAGGTTAGTGAGTCACTTTTTTTTTTGATGGACCCTTTACAGCCCAAATTTACGTTAAAAATTTCCACACTGTCATTTGTCTTTCAATTTCTGTAATCCGCGTGTTTTTATATTCTGTATATTCGGAATGTGCCACTTTTGTTTGATTAAAAAAGGTATTAACGGAGTATATTAATTTCCACAAAAATATGGAAAGGAGCGGGATTAAATGGTTTCAGGCAAATTATGTTACAACAATTTTTTAAGATTTTTGCGCACAAACTTTCTAATGTTGTCATCAATAAACCTTAAATTTTTTTTCATCATTATAAAACTTTTTATTTACATTAACCCTTTTTCATCAATAAACTCTTATCAATTTCTTTTTATTTAGATTTTTTAATTTATTTTTGATTTTTTGATTTTTAATTTTAAATTTAATATGGTTTTGATTCATTAAAAAAAAATAAATGCATTCTTGCTTTACTTAATAGCTTAATAGTAATTGATTATATGATATTTACCCATTTTAGTGACTTTTGCGACAAACTTCTTTTAAATCCTTTTATATGAAGAGATAACTAGCAAGAAATTGTAAATCTCTTTTTTTGTACCTTATCATTAAAGTGGACAAAATGTTCATTATCGTACGATTATTCAACGATCTAATCAAATCCAGACGTATGAGTTTGTCACTCTTTATTCTCAAATTAATTTTTCTCACGCAACTTATCTTTCATCTCAATTAACCCGAATTTAACACCTTTTGATGATAAACAGTTTCACTCACGATACCTTTTATTTCGTAAAACATTTACCCTCATGATTTTGGTAATAGATTTACCACAGTAAACTTAAATGGTGTGTTTTGAAAGAAGCTGTTGCTATGGATAAATGGATACATTTTGTAACATCAATAATACATTTTACCGGTAGCTCTATTGGATCTACTTTATGAATTATTATTTTTTTTTCGTTTCTTTTACCATCTTTTTTATTTATTTATTTGCTATTTTATATTTTTATCACGACAAATTTAATACCACAATTTTTTATCCGGATGATTGCGTCACATGCAAATTTTCTGTGCCGAAAAACATAACGGATATTGCTCCAACTCATCATAGTTATAATATCACCATCGAAAATAGCTCGGGTCATGTGACTTTTATAATAATCTGTCATATCGCGTCACACCCACCACCATGTTTCATTTTTACTATATAATCTGGGAAACTTGGTTTGTCACTCGTTATTTTTCACGTACGCCACCCTCACCTTGTGGCGTGGCATTAGGGTTAGGTAATTTAAAGATAATCAGCTTTTTTTGATGTGCAACACAATATAATTAGGATCGACAATAAAACGCGTTTTCAGTTCTCTTCTTCTCTCTATTATTTTTAAAACACGCGTCTCTAACTTTTCGAATTAACAAGATGTCTTCCGAGAGGTATAACTTGTAAACAATTTCTAATTATTAGAAAATAATGTTATCAACTATAATTTTATTTGTTAGACAAATTCAAGAAGAATGCCGAAGCAGATATTAATTGCACAGCAAAATTAAATCCTGACCCATTACCCGGTACAATATTTTTTTCTCGTGTCTTTAATACAAGTAATGATACAAGTACGAGTTATTAAGCAAGTTCGTCTATTTTTAGGAAAAGTTCTCACGGTGCCTTTAGACAAATTATTAAAGAAGCCCTCATCGTCTAGGACGTCATTCCAGTTGCAAGACTTCTAGTAGATGGAGCTGGGGACAATGTTGATGGTGCTAATCTTTATGCTAGTATTTGCGAGGATTTCGCAACTTACCTCTATAAGCATCCTGACATTCGTGCGATCGTGGATCCAGTATATGTCGTGGCTGATTTAAACACCGTAAATGTTGTTATTCCTTCTAATTTATATCCGCCAGGTGGAAATCTCGCGCCTCCTACCGTTCCTTTAGTCGACTTTATGGGTATTAATCATGTGTGGGTTTTCAACGGACAAGGGGGAATGGGTCGTGCTCAGCACTTTATTGGTTGGCTTCAAGGAAGATTACCTGGAATTAGAGTTCTCTTATTCAGTAGTCCCAATCCAGGATTATACTACTGATCACCTTCTTATTGTCTCAGTTTAAAAATTGCTTTTCTCTTTTTTTTATGTAATTTTTCTTTTAAAACTTTGATCTGCAAAATTTCAATCCGTTTTCTACTATGATGATTTGGCTTGTTCGGTTGGTTTTTCTACAAAAATTTGGATATGTTATTTATTTCCTTTGTTATAATTATAGTATGTAATAAATTTCTTTGCATTAACATAATAAATTAATATACTTCCATGGAAGGGTCTTAACGTTAATTGCAAAAAAAATACAGCTAATTAAGCCTATATATATGTTATTTTAATTGGAGAAGGTAAGATTATGCGAATCAAACAAAGTTAACTGACATGCAAATCGATACTATCAAAAAACATTTTACTACGCTGCGTGATCATGTGTACACATGAAACTGAATCTTCTGACTCAAATGCGTCGCCAAAGTCTCCGATTCTCTGTCCTGAAATCACCAGATGCGGTACCTTCTAAGGCAAGTATATTCGCATCTCAAACACCGATTCCTAGAACTAACCCAAATAAATCGAATGTCTTTAGCAAAGTCGATAATTTTTCATTTTATCACACTGTAAAACGATATTTTTTTTTTAAGTTAATTAAATTAAAATATCAATTTTTATCAAAACCGAATTAATATTGGGTAGAGAAAGCTGATTGAAATAACTTATAAAAAAAGTGCCGAAATCAATTTATTATTTAAGTAAAATTAGCTCCGACTGAAATATTCTACATAATAAAATTTTATATATAAATTTACATCATGTAGTATTTTAGCATTAAATTTTATTAAAAATTGAACTATTATTCAGTAAATTTTACTAGTAACAACTTTTACAATTTAATTATACAATTATTAATTAAATTTATTAAATTAAAAATTTTATTTGTATAAATTATATGCTATTATAATTAATCCATTGTTGATACATTATATTATATTGGTTTTCTATATTAAATTCTGTTCTTTCTAATATATCTTCTATAGTTTCATCATCTTTATCATTATTTTTATCTTTAAATAAAAGAATTTCATTTTCTTTTAAAGATGCAAATAATCTCTTATTTAAACTTTTAATATTGCTTTCTATTTCAGATGAAAGATAATTAAAACAATATATACCTTTTTCACTAGCGGTTTGACCTGGGCGATGCCCTGGGGTTCGCCAACGCGATGCATAAAAGACGCTAAAAAATATTAAAAATAATTTTAAAAAGATTCAACTAAAATTTTTGAAATTGTTTAAGTTTAATTTTATATGTAATTTAATAAATGGTAACTAAAAATTTTTGAAATCGTTTAAGTTTAATTTTATACGTAATTTAATAAACAGTTTACAATAAGCGCATATGAATTGATTAGAATCTTGCCACTACGTGGCAAAATCCTAATCAATACTTATATCGCTTATTTGTAACTGTAAAATAATTTATAAAGTTATTGTGTAATATTTTTTATTATATACAATTAAATTTAAATACTTTTAAAATAA